AGAGAGTGGGAAGGGTCCTAGCTCTTCGAGTAGCTCACAGAACCGTAAAGGAAGGGATGTGTTCGGAGAGGAGGCTGAGGAGACATCTTATGGGGTGAGGGGTCGGAGTCGAGGCAAGAAAGGCTTTTGGGGCCCTTGCTTTGAGAGAAAGGTGCACGCGCGGAATCTGCCACCTTTACAGATACGCACGTGCCTTCTCTGTCGCTCTCCTGGCCCAGGCCCATCAGTAGCAGGCCTGAAGTGTCCCAAAACCGCACTTACCTTGGGTCTGAAAGTTTACACCGGCTCGTAACACACCACACACGGCCCTCACACGCACATTACGAGCTCACAGACGCCGCCGGCACGCACTCCCACTTCACACACGCTCAAGCACAACCCCACCAAAGCACAGCCCTGCTCAGAATGGGCAAGGTCCACCGCTTGGTGACCCAGGCCGCCCCTGGCTCGCCACTGCACTCGGCTCCTCTCCAGCTGTCTCGGGCTCTCCCACGAGAGCACACCGACGGCAAGCTTTGACGCCCGTCTGGTGGACCTGCTGCGGCCACGGCCGATGCGCTCATGCAGCTTGGTCCAGGCCTCAACTCAGATGCCGACCAGCCTGGACGTGGCGGCCTACGAGCGGCGTTGTGTCCGGTCGACGCTTGAACGAGAGCGTCGAGCAGCGAGTCACCAGTGTGCCGCTCGAGAGCCTCCCGGGCCGGAATCCAGGCGCGGGACCATGGAACACGCCCAGGAGTCGACTCTCGCGGATCGCCGGCCACAGTCGGGCCGCCAGGAGCGAGCTGGCGACGGACGCTCAAAAAGGCCTCCATCGCGGGCGCAGGGCAAAATCTTTGTCGAAAGGGTCTATACAGCTCGCGGAGGAGCAAAGGACGCCCGATTAGCGCTGCGCGCGGCCGGGCAAAAAGAATTTTATTTGCCGACTCTGTTTTCTTTCTTTCTTTCTTTAGCGTTTGAATAAAGAATTTTACAAGCCAACTCCCTCGCACGACACTAGGCACGGAATAAAGAATTCCGCAACCGGTCCTTCTAGGCAGCGATGCCCATCCCTCCCTCGGGCGTGTGTTTCTTTCTTTCTGGCAGCGATGCCGTGAAACCTCCTTCGCAGAATTTAGGACAGGACGCTGTCTCCCTCTATATCCACTATCGTCTATCGGAATCGCAGAGAGTCACAGACACAGACAGGGGTGCTTCTGCTCGGTGGTACTGAAGTAGGACAAGCAGTGTACCGCACGAGTCCTGCACGAGTATAAGCACGTACGTACTACGTACACCACGACAGAACCGAACCATGGCGCTCAGTGGGGGGCGTGAGCGTGGCCGCCGCCAACAACTGAGATGGCAACCGGCACGCTTCCATTGGGCGTGTGGAGCGAGTCAACCTTGAACTCGTTCATGTCGTGCTCCGCAAAAAACGCGTAGGCGCCCGGGCTGGGCAGCTCCACGTAGAGCGAGGAGTACTCGGCGCCCATTGAGAACATGAGGTTGCAAGCCTGCGCCCCCGCTGGCATCTCGCCGCCGGTGCACTCCGGGAGCGTGATCGACTCGTCCCAGCAGATCTCAGGCATCCCAGTGGTGTGGCCGCCCATGGAGCGGCCGCGGAAGAGCGGCCTGCCCGAATGGAGCAGCTGGCGGCGGCCGCCCTTGCACGCCTCCGGCACACCCTCCGCCGAACACCCGGGTGATGTTCCGGGGCATCCCGGGATGGGGCACGAAACGTCGCCGGCGGGAGGGCCGCCTGTCGCGGGTTGGCCCGCGTCTTCGCCGTCCGCGCCCAGGATCATCTGCGTCCAGTCAAATTCTTCGACGACCTCGATGTTGCAGCCGCCGAGCTTCTCGTGCCCCGCGATGAGCGCGTCCTCGGTGAGCACTCCGTCGAACGGGCCACTCATCGCGAGCTTGATCGACGCGTCGCCCGCGCCGTACACGCCGCCCTCCTTCGCGAACCGGAGCTCGTAGGTGCCGGCGGCGGGCACCTCAAAGATGCCCGCATACTCGAAGGCGCAGGGGACTTGGTCAGTGGCGAAGTTGGGCGTGCACTGGATGGGGCGACCGTGCGAGTGGACGGGCGCGCTCCCAACGTCTGAGTGCTCGTCCCCGTCCGCGACGGCCATCGGGTACTCGCCTGAGCATGTCGCTGGGCAGACCTCGGTGTCAGCTTCGGTGGTGTCATCAATTATGCTGGCAAACAGGAGCGACCGCTTGCGCCGCCGCTCGGACTCGCACAAGGGGTCGATGTCGCAAGCGGGGCCGTCGGGGCCCTGCACGCCATCCTCGCCCTGGCCCATGCCGCAGGCGGCTCGAGCGCAGGTTGCGCCGCAGAGAGAGTCGGGGCTCTCGCAATTCACGTTGCCCGTGCCGCAAGAGCCCTGGTTGCCGCAAAGCGTGTTGCACACGGCGGTGTCCGACGATGAGCCCGCCAGGCACGAGTAGGCGTTGGGGAAAGCCGCGCCGTAGAAGCCAGCGCACGGGGGGAACTGGTTGCTTACCGCGTCGGCCAGCCGCCGCGCGAGGCGAGGGCAAGCAGGGATCTCGCTGCAGCCGGGGCTCCAGGGGCACCCCTCGAGGGGGCAGCCTCCCGCGTCTGCCTCGCCGCCTCCCGCGTCTGCCTCGCCGCCTCCCGCATGGCAGTCGTTCTCGTTGAACTGGTTGTGCGTCTGCACGCAGTCGCTGATCGGCGCCATCGCGCCGTGGAACGCCTCAGACTGGCCCACGTCGCCGAAGACGGCTCCAAACTTCGCGGTGGCCGTGGGCGGGCCGAGGACCTGGTCTCCGGGGGGCCAGAACACAATGTAGTGCAGGCCGGGCGCCGCCAGCTCGACGTGCTTGTCCTGCACGACCCACATATCTGAGCCCGCCCACTCCTCGTGGTAGTGGCAGCGCTTCGTCGGCCAGTCGAAATGCGTGGCAAAGGGCGCCGCCTCGGGCCCGACCGACTTATACGAGAAGAGGGACACCCGGTCCTCGAGAAAGTGGCACGTGCACCCGTCGCCGCCGCCGCCGCCTGGCAAGCACGACGATTGATCGGGAATTCCCGGGATGGCGTAGGCGCCCATTCCCGTGGGAACTTGGTCTTGAATCGCCTGTGGCAGCTTCGCCGCCTCCCCGCCGGTGAGGCCTGGACCAATGACGGCCGCCGCCACGCGGGTATCCCAAAAGCGTTCAATCACGGGCACGACCCCTCCGACCATCAGCTTGTAGTTCGGAGGGGCCATGAACTTGACCCAAAAAAACGGGTGGTCGCACAGAGCGACGCGGTCGGCGCTTTGCGAGCGGGTTATGTCGAGCACATCCAGCGCCGACTGCATGTCGGCATAGCGAGGCCCCGCGGTGGCGCCGCTAGCGAGCTGGAAGTGGGCGCGCACGAGGCAAGTGGAGTAGAGGAGCAGCGCCTTTGCGAGAAGCATTTGCATCGGCGAAGCCCAAAATCGGCGAAAGTACGCTTTGACTTCCGGACTTCCGGTCGAGATTTTTTGTGCTCGCTTTTGCGTTCGGACTTTGCTCACAGGCCCTCCTGCTCGGCTCCAGCGAGTAGACAAGTGTTACCATCAACAGAGGAGAAGAATCTGACCTCAGGGCTGATGTGACCAAGCGCTGGTAGGCTGGTAGCGTGGTTTTACCTCACACCCACCCATGGTCTCACACACAGCGTGCCGGCAGTCGCCGAGCAGTGTTGCTCACACAAGCCGCAGCACAAGTGACTGAGGGCCAGTGAGGGCGAGCCCATCGCTGTCACAGCTGTGGCAGCCGCACAGTAGGCTGTGTCAACTGTGCAGAGTGTGTGAGCAGCAGAGGAGCTTCACTCCAGGCTTCCAGGCGCAAAGAGCTGCATGCCACCAAGGGCGCTGTCGAGGTTCGCCGAGCGCGGCGCAGGTTGGAGGAAGCCGTCACCGACGAGCGCGTTGGACTTTTCACTCCGGACAAAGACGGGGACACAGCGGACGGTGCGGGGTGTGTCCCCGTCATAGCGGCGAGGCGCGGGACCGTCTGTGGCGACGAAGTGGGTCGCGTCCTCCGATTTCCGTCAACTCACGGTCCTTCCCCCCGTACACGGCTCACGGCTCACGGGGGCGGGGCACGGGCGTGCGCTCGACGGCTCCTCGTACGTACGACGGCTCCTCAGTACCTCGACGCACGACGGTCGACGCACGCGCGCGGAGTGCTGACGAGTCTAGAGCTGTCAAACGTTAACTTTGGGCCTAACAGTTGCACTATTGTTGGCTGAAAATCCTCAACGTTGTTCAAGTGTTCTCCCCAGCCCAAGCTGTTACTGTTTGTTACTGTTGTTACTGTTGTTCAGTGGTCAGCAAGCAGAAAATGCCAAAAACCCGGGTAAAACCCGAAAATACCTGGGGGTTTCCAGGTATTTTCGGGTATTACCCGCACTGGACGCTGGAGATCGTCGTGGGTCACTGCCAGGCCTTCCTTATTGTTGTTCAGCTGGCCTAACGTTAGCTACTGTTGTTGGGGAGCCCCACTGTTGTTCTGTTGTTACTGTTAACACTAGCAACACTGTTCAGCTCTTAACGTTTGACAGCTCTAGACGAGTCACGAGAGACAGAGAGCTGAGAGAGGCCGGCCGGAGCGTTTTTTTGCGCGCTCGATATCCACGCGTCACAGATCGGATCATAAGCCTTGGGATGTAACAAAACCCACACAGCGCTCCTGAACGCGCGCTTCCCGCTTCAGGTCGTGCAGCTTTCACACGAACCCCGACAGCGCCCTCGAGCTCGTCCGCATATCGCTCGGGGGCGAGGCGACTGCGCCGGTGGCGCTGCTGTCGGGCTCGGGGCACCGGCGAGCTCGAATGAATAGCCTCCACCACCATGAGTGGCGGCGGCGAGGGGGCGTCGTGAGCGGCGCCTCTGGCTGCGCTTCGACGGGCGCTGTCCGCACGTGCCTCGGCGTGGGGTGCGGGGCCGCCGGAACGGGCTGCTTGAGCTGCCTGCGCAGCTCCGCCACCCCGGCCGCCGCCCACCTGCAAAGGGTGAAGGGGAGGGGGTGTCAGCGTCCGCATCGCCCTTGTTTTTGGGCCCTGACGAACCGCTGCGGGCGGGCACGGCCACTTGCGGGCACGCGCGTGATCCCGTCCCGTCCCTCCCCTCCCCCCCCGGCGGCG